GACACAATCTTTGAGGTTATAATACTAATGTGATTTAAATGCTTCTTTTTCCCCCACAATAAACATAATAACTGTGAACTTGGTAATCTTGCAGTGGCTTTCTTTTAAATGCTTGTTTTATATTTGACAAGCAAATCCTTGTAAAGCCTGAACTCCTTGCAGTCTATCTTAGCAAGTAAAATGTTTTTTCTTACTAAATGTTTTTGTAGCTTTGCCTTCTTTTGACAATAGGCTCAGTTGTTTACAACTAAGAACTCTGATGAGTACTAGAAGGGAGGCTGACCAGTGAGTGTGCACTTGTTTGGGAAAAGCAGTGTTGTTTGGAGGGAAAAGGGTGTGCTATAAAATAAAAACAGAAAATGTCCCTAAATTATTTCATAACTAGAGGCCCAGTGCCTGAATTCATGCAGGAGTGGATCCCTAGGCCTGGCCAATGATCAGGGCTGATCGGGACCAAGCCAATCAGGGCCGGGCCAACTGGGGCCTGCCAGGGGGGGAAAGAACAGGAGAAGGGACCACAGGAGGTTGGCCAGCCAGGGGGAGGGATTACAGGAGGTTGGGCAGCTCCTGCATTGAGCATCTGCCCCCTGGTGGCCAGTGCACATCATAGCGACTGCCAACCAGTTATTCCAGTTGTTTGGTTGTACCGTGTTTCCCCGAAAATAAGACATCCTCCAAAAATAAGACCTACTTACAGGTTTCCTTCTGAGTGAAATATAAGGCATCCCCCGAAAATAAGGCACCCCTAGGCTAAACATGAGAGATTTGGTCCACTGATTCTGAAAGAAATGGAGTCACAAGAAATTCACCAGGAAATTCAGGAATTGGATTTTTATGATGATGTTCCAAAAGATGATGACATGATTGTCATTGAATAAATGAGTAAATTCTTGATACTGTAGGATTCAGTTTGTCTGGTTTGTGTTGACAACTACCGTACTACCGTACCATATACAGGTAATAAATTTCCTTTATTTTCATTTAACAATAAATGTGTACTGTATTCTTCTTTATGGAAAAATAAGACATCCCCTGAAAATAAGACCTAGTGCATCTTTGGGAGCAAAAATTAATATAAGACACTGTCTTATTTTTGGGGAAACAGGGTAACAGTCACTTGGGTTTTTATATACACTAAGTAGCAAAATTATTATGATCTCTGAATGCATAATAATCTGGCACTTGGTGTATATATGTATATTAGAGGCCCGGGATATGAATTCGTGCATTGGTTGAGTCCTGCCAGCCTGGCCATGGGGAGGGCACATGAGCAGTTGGCCAACTTGCCTGCTGGTTGAACTCCTAGTTGGGGGACAATTGCATATTAGCCTTTTATTAAATAGGATATACACTGAATGGCCATATTATTATGTATTCAGATAATCTGGCCACTCAGTGTATATATACTAGAGGCCCTGTGAACGAATTCATGTACAGGTAGGGTCCCTCTGCCTGTCCAGTGATTGAGGCCTATCAGGGGCTGACCAGCTGTGAGAGGGGCCCCAGGGGGTTGGCCAGCTGGCCCCCAAGATAGGGGCCTATGGGGGGGACCTGCAGGGGCCAATCGGGAGTGGGGACAGCTGAGGGGAGGAGGCCAGCTGGTGATCAGAGTTGGGGGGCAGCCAGTGGGAGGGCCCACAGGAGGTTGGAGGGGGCGCCAATCAGTGCCTAGACTGGGCTGGTTGGCCACCGCAGTGCATGTCATAGCAACCGGTTGGTCTGGTCGTTCTAGTCATCCTGCCATTCCAGTTGTTGGGCATATATATATATATATATATATGTATATATATGTATATGTATGTGTGTATATATATATATATATATATATATATATATATGTATATGTGTGTGTGTGTGTGTATTATTATAATTGAATAATGTGGTGTATGTTATAAACTATAAATCCCAGCATAAGTGTAAGGCTGAAGCAGTATTCTTTTTTAAAAATATATTTTATTGATATTTTACAGAGAGGAAGGAGAGGGATAGAGAGTTAGAAACATCGATGAGAGAGAAACACTGATCAGCTGCCTCTTGCACACCCCCTACTGGGAATGTGCCCACAACCAAGGTACATGCCCTGGACCAGAATCGAACCTGGGACCTTTCAGTCTGCAGGCCAACACTCTATCAACTAAGCCAAACCGGTTAGGGCTAAAGTAATTTTTTTTTAATTTCTTTATTGATTAAAGTATCAGATATTTGTCTTCAACCCCCATTTCAGTCCCCCATCCTTCCTCACTCATGCCCCACCCCCTTATTGTCCTTGATGAAGTAGTATTCTTGATTGGTAGTAACCATGTTGTCAGGTAAATCAAGGGTACCTAACACTGCACAGGAAGCATCCATCCACCATTAGCAAAACTTTCCTTGACCTTGCTCATTAAAGACCATCTGTGGTCCTAGTCAATTTTGCTCAGTGGATAGAGCATTGGACCATGGACTAAAGGGTCCCAGATTTGATTCCGGTCATAGGCATGTACCTCAGTTACAGGCTCAATTCCCAGCCCCAAAAGGGCACATGAGCCCATTCCTTCCCCTCTCTCTAAAAATCAATGGAAAAATATCCTCAGGTGAGGATTAACAAAAAAATCCTATGTAATAAAAGGCTAATGTGCAAATTGTCCCCTTGGGAGTTCCACTGGGAGACCAGGAGTTTGATTGCTCGCTATGATGTGTGCTGACCACAAGGGGGCAGCATGGAGCATGGCAGACAACCAGCAACAGCAAAGGGGTGCTGAGGGTGCAAGGGAAAGAGGAGGTGGGGAAGTCAACCAACCTGATTGGCCTTGATTACTGGCCTGGGCTAGGGACACTACCTGTGCATGAATTTTGTGCACCAGGCCTCTAGTTAATAAATAAAGGCCCTCTGTGAATTTCATTTCATAAAGTGTCCACAGGTAATGTCTTCCTACATGAAGGGACCATCATTGGAAATCAACACTCTTGAGTTCTCTTCAGCTACCTTCCTTTAAAGTCCAAATCACTACTCCCTTTCTCTTTAGTTTAAGATGCCAATCGCCCCAATTGCCTGATCTGTCCTCAGCTCCCTTATTCTTATAGGACCATTCTATCTATCGATATATACATAATAAATTTGGGTATTTAGTCCTGTTCATCTGTCTTATGTCAATTTGATTAGACCCGCCAGAAGTACTATAAGGGAAAGGAGGGGGAAAATTCTCCCTCCCGCCAGAATTATTTTCAATAGAGGGCCTCTGGATATCTCAATGAAAAATTCTAGTATATTTGAACTTAAAGAAAAAGAAAAAAAAAGGACTCATTCATCTATGCTACAGAACAGGGAAAAACAAGTAAATTAAATTAGAGTCATATACCATTCTAGATACTCTTCCATCCTCCATTAATTTTTCAGCCTTATAGATTCTTCCATGATAAATCTTTTTATTCCTAATACATGCTTTTTTTTGTATATTTTGAGCTTCATAAAACTATACTTGTCAAGTTGACTTGCCTTGTAACTGATTGCACATGACTTTGAAACTTAAACTCTGAGCTTCAACTGTCTTTACCAGGAAGATTCAATTATATAGATATGTTTGTATGCATCAAATCTTCAGAGAATAATGAATCAAGAATACCAGTAAGTAACAAGTACACAGGGCTATGTTTAGCTAAGCTTTTACGGAAACCAGAATTGTCTTTCACTTTTACACAAGTTCTCTGATCTTTGATTTCTAGACATTTGAACATATTTATTCTTTTTTTTTCTCCTGAAAATAAAAAGGAACAAATGGAATTCTCTTAGGAGGACCCAAGTAATGTGGAGGGGGGAAAACATGTCCTCCAAGCCAAGTTAGACATAGCCAAGATCAAGGGGAAAATCAGATTTCCTGTTTAGAGACAGCCACAAGAGCAGTTTTTGCATGTCAAAGTGCCATGTGGAAGGAGATGAAATAAGGACATTCATAAAACACATTTTAACACACACACACACACACACACACACACACAGATCTAGACATACAGTAGTAGTCACATGGAGGTCTACTCTTGAAAATGCCCTCATGACAAAAAGTAGAAGACAAATATTATGATAGAATGGGACAGGATGATGACAACCAGGGAAATTATGAAGGGAAATTCCAAACACATAAAATTCTTCCATTGCCTTTTTTATGTCAGTTGTTTTGGTTTCCATGGAAATTCATAGCAGTCCACAAGTAAGTAATCTATGATTGCTCCAGGCCATAAAATCACACATAATCACAATCGTTTTTACATCATTACAAATGCCACATCAGAGAACTTGCATTTGAAGGGAAGCCACATATTTACAACATGTCCAAAAAGCTTCAACAGAAATGAATACTGATAGTATCATTTATTACTTAAAGAGTCGCTACCAGAAGCGCTGATAATCTCACACTAAGAGGCAAACTCATTTTTCACTCATTTCAATTCAGTGGCGTTTTCTTCTCCCAAGTATAAACTAAATCTGTTGAACGTGGTCACGTTCTGTGTGTTTTTTATCCTGTCTTTATTCTATACTTCAAACAAAACCTAGGTAGAGAAATAGACAGGTTTGTTTTGTTTGGGTGTTCAAAAACATCTGAAGGCAACCAAGTTTAACTCCAATGGGTTGTTTTACCAGCAGGTCGATGTTCCGAAGAAGCAAGCCCTAAGACACGCAAAATAAGGCTCTTTCAAAATAACTTTACATGTAGGGAATAGATGAGAGAGGAAAACACATCCGTCATCAGCAACAAAACAGAAGCCTTGTCCCCCGCTATCTGTAAACCAGCGCTTCGCCCGGGCACAAAAAGTATGGGATGATGGGCACGACCCTGCGCCCATCCCGGGGAGGCTGACCGCTGCCTGGATCTGGCAGAAGAAAGCCCTGCGGGAGGACTCCTCGGCTTTCAGAGGGGGGCCAGAGTCCCCCCGACATGCGTAAACCTCCTCCAGCTACCTGTGCTTCGCCACACAGGGACGAGGCGTGCGCCCGTGCCCTCGGGGCTGCCCCGCGGGCGGCTTACCGAGCAGCGAGCCGAAGAAGATGACGACCTGCACGGCGGTGGTGAAGCGGCGGTACAGCTGCGCCTCGCCCAGCTCCCCGAGCGCGCTGCGGTTGGCGCCCGCCGGCTCGCTGGCGTTGCGGGGCACCCAGCTGCCGTTGTGCCCCATGGCGAGGCCGGGCTCCGGCTCTGCCCGCTTCCCGCCCGCCGCCCGCCGCAGCCCCGCGTCAGGCTCTCCTGCCCCGCGCGCAGAGGAACCCGCGGGGGCCGGGAGGAGACCTGCAGAGCCCGGGGCAGCCTCGGGTCCCCTCACCACTCCGCATCGCCTAGGAGGCGGGGAGGGAGGAGGGCGAGGCGGCGCCCCATGCCCGCTCCCTCGTGGGTCCCGTCAGCGCCCACATGAGGGCGGCGCGGTCAGAGCCCGCTCGGCGGAGAGGGAAGCCCTAACGGAGGAGGCATGGGATGCTCAAGGGAGGGAACTCCCCGCTCCCGCCGCCCCTGCCGCCCTCTGCTCCTTCCAAGCCCCCGAGGGTCGGGGCTTCCCTCTCCAGTCGCCTCCTCAGACCGGCTCAGCCCCCTCCTTAGAGGGAAGAGACCATTGGGCTGAAGCCGTTTTCCAGACCTGCCGGCTTCGAGGCTGGATGGCGATGGGAAACCTGCGCAAAGCCCAAGCCAAGGGGTCGAAGCCTCGAGGGGAACCCCGAGCTCCCGACGGCGCCCACGGCCTGGGCAGGACGCCCTGAGTCTTCCCCAATGGCCTCGCCCTCGGCTCCAGGCGGCCACCCCCCGGGACTCCCGCGCGATCTACCCGGACCTCCACCTCCGCCCCCACCCGCCCCGGCGCCGGCGGCGGGGAACCCGTCCCACAGCCCTGTGGCCCGTGCGCGGCACAGCGCCCCCTCTCCGGAGCCCGCGCCGGCCCTCGGCTGCCGGGAGAGAGCCCCCCAGCAGCGGGCACCGGCGAGGACGCCCCTGGAGGGGCAAGGCACGGGCTGCGCGGCCGCGGGGCTCCGGAGAGCGCCCGGGCTGCTGGGGGCGCGCGGCCCCCGGGGGCGGGGTCATGTGACGCGCCCGGCCCCGCCCCCTTCACCGCCGGCTGCGGCGGCGGCGAGTACGGCGCCATCTTGGCCCTCCTGAGCGTGGTTACTACGGCTCTGCCCGGAGCGTGGGAGGCGCGTGGATCCTCGTAGCGCTACGATGGCGAGGCTGGCGGCTTCTTCCAGGCTTCGCTCCCGTTATTATTGCGAAATTATTGCAGTAGCTGCTCCTCCTCCGCGGGGGCTGCCTGAGGCTTATCAGTGCGCGTCGCTGCCACTCGGCCTGGGAGCTCAGACACAGTCAGGCCTTGGGTGTAGCAGGTGCATGTGAGAAAGATGAAATTTAGGAATCCAAGGCACGGCGTCTTGGTCCTTTTTTATTGAGTCTCATTTCTAAAAGGCACACGATATAATTCAGGGCTGGTGGGTCTCAGGAATGTAGAGCTGGGAGGGAGCAACTTCCTGCAGGCTGATGCAAAAGGATGGGAAGCCCTGACCAGTTTGGCTCAATGGATAGAGCGTCGGCCTGCGGACAAGGGTCCCAGGTTCGATTCCGGCCAAAGGCATGTACCTTGGTTGCGGGCACAACCCCAGTGGAGGGGGTACAGGAAGCAGCTGATCCATGTTTGTTTCTCATCGATATTTCTAACTATCCCTCTCCCTTCCTCTCTATAAAAAATCAATAAAAACATATTTTTTAAAAAAAGGATAGGAAAGTGGGATAATCAATTAAGCAAGAAAGAATGGTAACGTAAGAGAAGCTAAGTTGGAAAAGAAGTATCCCCAGAAAAGAGGGGGGAGGGGTGGAAGGGAAGAAAATAAAAAGAGAAATGAGACAGGAAAAGATACTCAAGGTTTGCTTATTCTGACTTTATGGAAGTCCCCGCGATGGGTTTCTTTTTTAATAAGTGAAAGGGTGCCCTCGAGGCTAATTGTGCTACAATATGGCTACTTCTTGACAAAAATCCGTCTTGTACATCTCACAATACCTGTGTATCATGACCCCCCATGTGAAGTTAATTTAAATATTTTGGAGGTCAAGAAAGAGAAAGAGGGAAAACTACTGATGAACTGTATTTTCTAAGTTAAAATTTGTTCGTGGAGTCCAAACATTTTTAAATCCCTAATGAAACCCCTTACACAATAACCATTGCAAAATAAAAAGAATAAAGATAATTCACCACCATCCAGCACATTCCTTTAGGAAGGGCTCAGGAAGAATGTATGAGTGAGTTGTCTAGAACAGTTGTAAAAATACCCTTTACCCACCTTTGCCTGCCACCCTCCTCCCATTCAAAACTCTAAGAAGGATTGGGATAAAGGTGTAGGAAAGAGTATTTAATAAAGCATGAAAACTCTCATTTTTTTTAATTCTGAAAATATACCAGTAAGTTCTCTATAGTCCTTAATTTAGTATTGGGGTATAGGTCTAGTTGAATAAAAAAATAACTTGATCAGCAGAGATCACCATGATTCTCAGACTTCCAGAAGGATTGCTTTGTGAAAATACAGGGCCAAGGACAGAATTTCTATGGCTATGTGCTATATTTTTCCTCTGGCTACAAGAAATATTAAGGTTGATCTAAGACAATGGTCGACAAACTCATTAGTCAACAGAACCAAATATCTACAGTACAATGATTGAAATTTCTTTTGAGAGACACATTTTTTAAACTTAAACTTCTCCTAACGCCACTTCTTCAAAATAGACTCGCCCAGGCCGTGGTATTTTGTGGAAGAGCCACACTCAAGGGCCCAAAGAGCTGCATGTGGCTCTCGAGCTGCAGTTTGCCGACCACGGATCTAAGAGATCGGACATGATTTAATTGTATGCTAAGTGCCTATAGTGGTGTTATTCATACTTGCCAGGTCATCATAAACGTAGGGGCCTACAAAGCAGCAATCCTTTATTTACCTCACAAATACGCATTTTGGACAAGGCTGGATGGGACAGCTAATCTTTGCACCACATGACATCAGCGCAAAGGGAGCCCAAGGCCTGGGATCTGGAAGCTTGTTCACTCACATGTCTGGAAATTGCTGCTGGCTTGCTGTTGGGCTCTAGCTGGGACTGTCAGCTGGAATGCCCATCTCTATGTGGCCTCTCTAGGTAGCTGCTTATCTTCCTCACTGCCTGGTGGCTACAATCCCAAAGAGAATATTCCAAGAGAGACTCACAGAGGACAAGGCAGAAGCTGCACTGACTTTTATGACAACCTCAGAATTCTTATGGCTTCACTTCCACTATATTGTAACTGTTAAACAGTAAAAAAAATAAATAAATAAATAAATAAATAAATAAATCACATTTCAGGGGAGAGGACATAGATCATACTTCCCAAGGGGAGGATTATCAGTCATATTGTAAAAAGAGCATGTGGAGCCCTAACCAGTTTGGCTCAGTGGATAGAGCATCGGCCTGCAGGCTGAAAGGTCCCAGGTTCGATATTGGTCAAGAGCATGTACCTTGGTTGCAGGCACTTCCCCAGTAGGTGTGCAGGAGGCAGCTGATTGTTATTTCTCTCTCATCAATGTTTCTAACTCTCTATTCTTCTCCCTTCCTTTCTGTAAAAGATCAATATAAAAAATTTTGTGTTTTTTTTCATTTTTATTTATTTATTTATTTTTACAGAGAGTAAGGGAAAGGAATAGAGAATTAGAAAATCGATGAGAGAGAAACATTTGATCAGCTGCCTCCTGCACACCCCCTAGGGTATGAGAGGCTCCAAGGATTGAGGACTCCCAGGGAAGTCCTCTCTCACTGGTGGTCTGCCTCCTTCAGTCTTTTAAAGAGTTACTTCTCTTTTCCTCAAATCAGTAGTTTACTCATTTAACAACTGTTAATACCCTTGTCCTGAGAAGGCAGGAATACAGTGGTGTGGACTAGAATAGATTCTCATAGCTTTCAACAATCACCTGTTCCTTGATATACCTACTGGGATTTGCTTAGGAAGTTTCCTTCTCATAACCATGGGAAAATAGGTATAAGGTTAATTTTATGTGGCAACTTGACTGATCTATGGATTGCCCAAATATTTGACCAAACGTTATTTTAGGTTTGTCTATGAGAGTATTTCTGGATTAGATTAACATTTGAGTATGTAGACTGAGCAAAAAAGATTGACCTTCTTAAAACCCTTAAGATGGGTGGGCCTCAGCATATGGAAGCAACCAAAGTGCCCATCAATAGAAAAATAGATTTAAAAAAAACAAACAAACTGGTACATATATACAGTGGAATATTACTTGATTCCAAAAAAGAACAATATCTTTCCATTTGTTGATGGACCTCGAGGTTATCATGCTAAGTGAATAAGGACAAAGGCAAATACCATATGATTTCACTTATATGTGGAATCTAAAGAACTAAATAAACAAATAAAATTGAAACACCCCTAGCCAGTTTGGCTCAGTGAATAGAGCATTGGCCCCTGGACTGAAGAGTCCTGGGTTTGATTCCAGTCTAGGACACATGCCCGTGCTGTGGGCCAAATCCCCAGCAGCGGGCATGCAGGAGTCAGCCAGTCAATGATTCTCTCTCATCATTGACATTTCTCTCTCTCCCTCTACCTTCCTCTCTGAAATCAATAAAAATATATATTTTAAAAAATGGAAACAGACTTACAGAGAACAGACTGATGGTTGACAGAGGGGAGGGGAGGTTGGCTGGGTGAAAAGGATGACAGGATTGAGAAGTACAATTGGTAGTTAGAAAAGTACAACATAGGAAATATAGTCAATAATATTGCAATAACTGTCTGGTGCCAGGTGGGTATTTGAAATATGGGGGGAGGAGGGAGCGCGGCAGGGGGAATCACTTTTTAAAATATATGATTGTCTAACCATTATGCTAAAACTAAAAATATTTAATATTAACTGTAATTGAAAAATAAAATTAATAATAAACAAAGGGCAGGCCTCATCTAATCAGTTGAAGATCTGATTAGAACAAATGGACAATAGGAAATTTTTAAGAGCCTACTTCCTTCTCTATTTTTTTTTTCTCTCTTATACTCCAATGATGTAGTGATAGGTAAAATTTGTATATAGGTGCTAATTACAAGTCTTTACATACCTACAGAATGTAATAGGATCCATTGCTGTTCAAAAGAATTCCCAGATGTCCACTTCCTTGGGCATTTATTGAAAAGCAGGAAGGGAGTTAGATAGGGGGAAAAAGAGATGAAATAGGATTTAGGATAATTGCAAAGACCAAGCTAGTGGTGAAAAGTAAGGAGTAGCTTCTGGGTTTTATTTCCCTTTCCTACTTCCCTTTCCTCACTGAAGGTCTCTTCCTCCTCCCTCCTGTACCCCACACCACACCCTCATATGCCCCTGCATGGCCTCTCACTAAAGGTGGAGAAAAGAAAAATGTTGGAGAAATGGTAATATTTTGAAGCAGCAGTATGCTGATAAAAGAGGGGTCCTGTGGCCCCTGACTACCCATCTGGAATAAGTGATTTTATTTCCAAATGGCTGTTTCTATGCCTATATAAAAGGCATAGATGGTGCCAATTATTATGTAGGCATTCCTACTGTTCAACAATATCTTATTCTCCTTAAAAGCATACAAAAGATTTTTTTTTTTTAGCTGCTCTCGCAAGAGGGCAGATTTCATGCAACTATTAATGACTAATGATATGTGAGTAAAAGTAACAAATTATTTCTGGGCTATGGCAGTGATTCTCAAGTCTCTGCTCATTGCAATGATGGGAGGGGTCTTGTGTTGAACTACA